GTAAACTATTTAACTTATGTTATTTGACTGTTTGATTAACTTTTTGTCATTATATTTATTTTATTTGTTTACTTTATAGCAGGTATAGAGGATTGCACTTACATTAACGGCGCCTGCGTACATGGAGTTTGCAAGGACAGATCGGTTGGTTTTGATGAGTGTCTGTGCTTTGATGGATACAAAGGAGGAAGTTGCGACCAAAGTAATATCTTAGAGAGTCTGTTTCACATTTGTTTTAAATTTAAGACAGGGCTGTAGTTTAAGACGACCTTCAGTAGCCTATTGTTTTTTTTTTTTTTTTTTTTTTTTGATGTCATCACTGGGTTTTCTTTACAAAGAAGTAAACAAATCTTGTTTTAGACTGCTATGTTCTATGCTCCAGAGATCAACCCTGGGTAGGAGTTGATAAACGCGTCCGTATAAAAGTTAAGATTAACTTTTTATTTAATTTTGTTCTTTTTATGTGAAACTGAACACATACCGCTCTGTTATTTAAAACTGTACAAGAAATTAATATACTTGCGTGCTTTCGACGTGGATGCAATATGTCTTGATGTTTTGATGTACAACATTTCGTTATTTCAGACGTTACCTGTGAGCTGCATAATAAGGACAAAGGTGTAATTAGGTCACGGAAAGCTACGTATTTCTACCGCGATAAAGAGGACTTTACATGCGACCAGGACTTTGAGCTGGACGGTTTAAATGGCATGTCAAAAATCACCGTCGAATGCCAGGCAAACGGCACGTTTCAGACAATACCAGACTGCGTGGCAAGAAAATGCCGTGTTCCACAGCACTTACATTTACAATATCGATATGGACCAATCTTCAATGTAGACAACTTGGTTCTAGTGAATTGCAGTAACGGGTACAGGTCTACCAGTGAAAAAAATCAAGTTCTGTTGAAATGCTTATCAAATGGGTCCTTTGACAGACCTTTCTTAGATTGTCAACCAATACAGTGTCCTGTTCCAGACAACATAACAAACGCTACCCCAGATCATAAAGGGCCATATGACTTTAATGATTCGGTTACATATACTTGCCAACCCGGTTATACGTCACGCTCAGGACAAACGTCATGGGTATTAAAGTGTGGCGAAAGCGGATATATCAACACTCGTGACGTCATTTGCCTTCCAGGCGGATGTGACGTCAAAAACATTAAATCCAGCCTAATATCTGTAACTGCCGGCCCATTAAATGTTATTCTACGGTGCCCCCAGGGTAAGAGTTTCAAGAATGGTGACGTCACTCTCAATGTGACGTGTAGCCCTAGCGGAACTTTACCTGCCAACGTGACGTCACTGGAATGTTTGGGTAAATTTCGAAACACTATATCATAAAGATGCTTTTCCGAATATTAACTGCAGAAAAAGCAAATAGAGGGGGGACGCATGTGGGCTCATATTTATTATTATAATGTACGAACGCTAAATAAAACGGACGCATTTGTGATTTAGAAATGCAGTATAGTTATTGTTTTGAAGTCTGTTGACATATATGCCCATTTGTATATTAATGTAGTCAAAGTAGGTCTGTTCAACACGGGTAGGCTACATATAGCAGTCAAGTCATTGTAAACATAAATTAGTACTGCTTCAAGTGACCAATTTCTCTAGTGCACAATAAAAGTTTATTTTTCAGATACGGGTGATCCTACAGTTGCAAAGGAAGGACTTTCTTTAGGTAAAAACTGGTGTTACAGTACCATAAACTTATTTGAAGATTTAATCGGCATCCCCCAATTCGTAAATGACATCTGCCGAATAAAAAAGAGGAAATCAAATTAGAATGACATTTGTATCAATATAAACCGTCCGAGGATATGCTGTGGACAAAATATAGTGATTTAATTATGAAGTACCGGTACATAAAACGTCCATTGGTGTGGGAAACACAAGCCGGGTACCTTAACAGTTAGAGAAAATAATAAGCTTCATGTATCCATGATATTCTTCTGTGCAATAATTTTTTAGTTACAGAAACAAGTAGATTAGCACCTTATTCTTTGTATTTATTTATTTATTTATTTATTTATTTATTTATTTATTTATTTTCCAGGCGCTGTGGCGGGTATAGGGGTGGGCGGTGTTCTGGTGGTCGCTCTGGTGATACTCCTTGCTGTGTGCTGTTTTTTGAGGTAGGCAGTGGCTGGTCAGATGCTACATTTATAAGCCAATTGATTCGTAAATTTTATTTGATGAACACTAAAAGGTGGACAGATAAGAGTCTAACTGCTTTTAATATTGCCAACGTTTCATCAGCACATGTAAAAAATGTGTTATTTTACATGTTTGCTTGATTAGCTGTTAGTGCACCTTCGATTATTTCTTTTTTTCTTTAATTTAGCTGGTTAATTTATTTTACATAATATATTTAGTCATTTCTTGGCACTTTATTTAATTCTGAATTAAATTTCACTGTCTTTGTTTATTTTATTTATTTATTATTATCATTTTTTGGATAATTGCTATTGTGCAATATTGGAAGTGAGTAACTCATTGCTAAGGCAATTTAAGCAATTATATTTTGTTTTGATATTATTCAATATTTTAGAAATAAGACCAAAGGCGAAATGAAAACACGAACGAATGACGCGCCATCTATGGACGATGCAGTGGAAATGGTCCCGATGATGTCGCCTTCAGCTCAAGTTGATACAAGAGATGCTCGAGAAGCCCTGTACGCTAAACCTGCCAAAAAGCGAAAAGAGTCCCCTTCTTTGGAAGAACGTGAAAATCAAATGAAAACTAGCGTAAAAGGCGTTCCCGATCAAAACGAAAACGATGTCGGGTCTCCTACAGGGATTTTCTTGGTTGACAACGACCTCTATGAGAGTGATGCAGGTGCTAGTACGCGCTCTGAACCTGTGGTCTTGGTTGAAAATGAGTTATACGGGGACGGATAGATGGAAATGCCGGTCGATGGAATCATCGTTGTGACTTGTTTACAGTGTTTTTATGGTGCTTTTTGACGCTGTCAATATTTTAAGTGATTCGATATGACTTTATCTTTTTATATGAACATTTTTATAAGATACTTAAACAATTATAAATTACAAACGACGTATGAAAGCTGTGATATTTGTTCAATAGAAACAGATTTGACATGTTTACACATTTTTTGTACAAATTAAAATTTCAAGTAATGATTGTAACTAATTGATTAGTTACTGATTATCGATTGATGATAAGTTAAAAGGCACGTTAGAAAACGATAAAATACAATCACTTGATTACACATTATAGAACAGACTAAGCACAAGATTGTTTTTAATTTTTTTGTACTGCTTGTTTGTCTTCCAAGTTACTCCTTGAGTAGTTGTTTTAGATATAAATGTCAGTAGACATTTTTATACGTTCCACAAAGTCAGTAAAATTTTTTTCATACTACATCGTCCAGCTAGTCTGAGGTTGACACTTGATTCCGGTCATCTTTTTTTTTGTTCGTATAACTTGTATACCCTCTACCAAGGTGGTAGATATTATATAGGCACATTTGGGAATGTGGAAAATGTGCCTATAATATATGCCACTCTGGTACAGGGTATAACTTGTACACGTCTAAGAGTGTATTATTGTCATTGTCTTTGTTATTTCGCTTTTTGTGTAGAACGTGCATTATTTTCACCAGCACACATGCTGCTGCAAAATTTACGAAATAAATTATACTTAATATATACTTACATGTGAAAATCAACTGTTTTAGGGTTATCCATATTTTATCATCATTTTCACAAGTCTACAAAGCGTTGATTTTTCCTGACACCACTCGGAATAAAAGGAATAAAAATTCAATACAGATATTTCTGTATAGAAATTTCACCCTACATTAAGTAAACGTTATATCCGTGATCAGTATCAGTAAACACTAGATTAAATGATGCAATAGGACACAAGTGAAGTTAAAAAAAGGGCTTAGATGTTTAATACAGTATAAGATAAATTTGACCTCCGACTTTCTTACGTCACGTCTGAATGACATCATTCCACTATTTGAGGCGAAGCTAATTTTTGGCATAATATTAAAAAAAAATTAAATTAGTCCTTGCCAAGTGGCAAAGTCGTCTCATCGTAAAATTATTTAGAAACTAAGAAATTTGCTTCACACATAGGAACTATCTTATAAAAATCAGTGTTACAGTACATTTCGTTCACTTTACATTTATGCTGGGGGGGGGGGGGGTTTAAAAGAAATGTTTCAATTCGATCGAAAAATACATAATACACAAGTACAATTTCAAAATTACCTGTTACATGTTAGGTATAGGGACAGAAAACTGCTTGGCTTCGTACATCTCGCTTCGTTTATTATTCAGCATTTTTTTGGGCAGGAAAATGGAAAGATGGTGGTGCACGCGCTGATCACCTGTCCCCGGATGTACGTGTCATTAGGGGTGCAGGCGTCCGGTTTCGAAACGAGTCTTTTTTGAGGGGGGGGGGGCATAGAAAACAAAATGTTTCTCACTGGTCACTGGCTTATTGTCACTCTGTCATTATCTAATTTTCCCGAAGCTCCACGTACAGTAACTTAAAATTAGTTACACTGCACGAAACATAAACCTCCCCCCCCACACAGGGGCGGATTTAGGCCGTCTTCTGGGTCTTCCGGAAGACGGTCAGATTTCCAAGTTTACATTGATGGGTATCTAATTTTTTCTGTCGGAAGACGGTCAAAAATGAAAGATGAATCAACAAAGATAATTTGGAGGACTGTCAGAAAATATCTTTGGGTCTTCTCAGTTAATTAAGGGACAGACGGCACCCCTATGCCCATAGCGCATTTCTTATATTGACAAGTTCATTTTATTGGGATAAGCTATTGCCCATCCACCCTTCTTTTCCTTCAGATAGGGTAGTACCTTTAGTAAGTTAGAAACATGTACGTGTATATATCGTGCTTATCTCTGCCGTACCGGTAGTCCTATTCCATTAGCGCACACTATAATAACCTCCCGGATATCAAACAATATATCCTGTAAGCCTTAGTCAACACTAGCTCACATTCAACCGTTTATTTTTGAACTTGTGTCGTTTAATTTATCTAGGTCAGGAGTATTTGTAGCTCACTTTCAGTGACTAATATCGGACCTTCTTACAATATCCGTCACACGTCTGAGATGAGAAAGAGGAAGAAGGACGCGGCATTAAGCCATGGGTACAGCAATGTTATCAGAAGTTATCTCAAATTCTGTTTTTGCTGTGGCAGTATTGTTACCTATTCATCTTATAGTTACCACAGGTGAGTGTAAACATATCTTAAGTTTATAGAGCGTGAAGAGCTTCTTGTTACTAGTACGTACATGTAGGCCTATACCTGTGCGCGTGAGATCTACAGGTATGCGTTCTGTCTTTCCTGTGTCTTAAATTACCACAGTTAAGTCATTCGACCGCTTTTTGTCAGTCTCGCACCCCTTCAAAAACAATTAAGCACACACACACACACACACACACACACACACGACAACAGACCTTGTGACAAGATATGATAAGATACAGTGTATACTTTTCTGACAGTCGTTTATATTTGGTCATTGGCTCTCATTTCACAATACTAAGCAGATTTTTATTTATGTCACATACAATAAACTTCTAAATCAACAGTTTGATATTTTCATATTACTTGTGACATTTTTAGCTCAGTGTGAACCCGAAGTAAGCATGGCTACGTGTTCCACCGTTAGTGCACGAGGAAGATATGGTTATGGCCGCATAAGCTGTATATTAAATGGCAGCCTTCCATTGTAAATGATAACCTCCACTGTGTCAACACGGAGCGTGTATAACATATGACCACCGCATAATACAGTCCACCCCACCCCCCCCACCCCATCCCACCCCCGCCCACCTTCCTCGCCCCCTTTTTTCCACCTCGACATGTTTTATTTAGACGATGAATTGAAAACCATTTTAATTACAAATTTGAATTGTTTGTCACAGCGTGAGGTGATCGCGATGTTCACCCTCCTCTCTCTCTCTCCTCCCATTTCCACGTAAATCGCAATTCAAACATCATGAAGGAAAACAACAGATCAATCGTCTCTATGACCTTGATATTGTAAAGGTATTATAAGTCTTGACTGTAGGGCTGGGTGTTTATTATTATTATTATTACATTTCTGGAGGGGGGTTAACTGCACCCCTTCACCACTTCTTCATCGATATCTGTCAAACACGCAAGGACAGGAGAAGGCTTAGGACCCCCTCAATCCCCTGCAACTGCTTTTTTCTAGATGGTTATACATGTAGGCCTACCACCCCCACATAGGATCATGCAAACCCTAACATAGAATTATGCGTACTATGCTGCTCGCCTGATTTTTTTAAAAAAGATTTTTTCTCGATTCCAGTTGCACTTGACGTGAAGCAGATATATTATAATCACTCACTATTAGTAAGTGGCATAAGTACACAGGGAACCACAGGTTGTAACAGCCTGTCGTGCTGCAAGGAGATCTGTGACACTCGTGGCTCTGGATGCGCCGCCTTTCAGGTCTTCCGGCCAGGGACGGTTGACAAAGAGGGGAACTGTTTTACCTTTTCGGAATCACAAGCGTGTAAAGCGGGAGAACAGGCGGTCGATTCAACGTTGTACATTGTCAATACAACGTGCAAAAGTACGTGTTGATTTTTTCATTCCATTCGGTAATTAATTTGTTATTCGTTATCTAATTTCTCATTTGAATCTCTAATTTCTTGCATTTTTATGTTCATGTGCTACACAACTAATATATATTTAGCTCATTTCGATATATCTAGTGCACACTATGTTGCCTAGTTCATTTATGTGATTTCTTCCTATTAATTTGAATCCCCAAAAGTGACAAATATTCAAATATCATTTTGTCTAGATGTGGTTTGTGGGAGTGATATTGATAAGTGCAAATATGGCGTCTGCTCCAAGAGGGATTACGGTTTGAGGTCTCGCTGTTTGTGTAACACGGGGTTTACAGGAAGAAGCTGCAACGAAAGTGAGTGACAACTTTTATATGTAGTCAAGTGCTTTAGATTGATATGCCTATTATACGATCTCTCGATTCAGCTTGGAAAACATATTTTAATATTGACTTTTAAAAAAGTCACCCGGAAGTTTGTGTCAAACTGGAAGACAGTCACATGGTTTAAACTGCATACAGATGCCCAACAAAATGTCATTATATGGGGTTTCTACTATATTTTCTGTTCTGTACATTCATATTGTTTATGTCACTGCAAAAATGAAGCGATATTATTATCATTATTAAATAGAATACACTGTAGTAGCCTATTATTTGCATTTTCTATATTAAGCTGTGCAGTGCATACCTGATAAAGTCAACAACGCTACAATTACCCCTGCACGTCAAACTTACCACTACAAAGACATTGTGACTTACACCTGTGCTGTTGGATACGAACTAGAAGGACTCAGCGGCGCATCTAGCATCAACAAGAGCTGCCGCGCGAATGGAACATTTGGTCACATCCCGCCTTGTGTCGAGGCCATGTGTCGCGCGTCTGAGCTTATCGCCAGTCACCTTATTCCAGAAAAGATAGGACCGTACAGACGCGGGGAAGACGTGATAGTGCGATGCCAAGAGGGATTTTTTTTTGACACTGCCGTCAAAGAAACTGAGATACTCACCTGTTTAGCCAATGGAACATTTGCCAAGCCATTTCCGTTGTGTTTCCCAGGTGAATATAAATCAACAGTTTGGTTTTGTAGTGAATGTTTTCGTTTTCATTTTAGTTTACAAACATTTCAAGTTCATTATCATGTAAACCGTATCTTAAAATTGAAAAAAAAAAAAAAAATCAAAAACTTAGGGCAAATTTAGGCCTTTAGCGAAACGAGAAAAAAGTTTCAAAAGATCGACTAGTTTTCACATCAAAAACGGGAAGATAAGTGCAACATGTGCCCATGGCGTGTCATATAGTGAACAGTTCCTCTCGTATATTTCCAGCTTGCCCAGACCTCTCACATGTAGAACATTCTATGCCTAGTTCCCCTGGACCCTACGCCTTCAACGAGACGGTGACCATACTGTGCAGCAAGGGTTACGCTTTGGGTGGGGGTGACACGTCCAAAACGCTGAGGTGTACCCAGAACGGAACATTTGACACGACACCGGGCACCTGTCACAAAATTCCAGGTGTGATATTTTTTTTTTAATTGTGACACTGCTATTCCGTTTATACTTACAATAATTTCTGTCACATAACGTGGTTGCTTATTGCAGCTTGCTTTTTTTTTTAATTTGAGAGTGAATTTTGTATTTTTCATATGATTCACTAGTTTTGAAAACCTCATGCTTAATGCCTTTCTGTTCGGTTCCAGATAAATCTCAAGTTTCAGCCGGTAAGTGGTCCGGTTCTTGCTTTTGCCCCAGGACCTTACTTTAAAATAGAACTTTAACCAGGAAGTTGGATTTAAATTGCAGATCAAAATTCAAAACAGTCCTTTGTATTCAGCTTGGTGATATCAGTATTGTTCTTAAACATTAGGTATAAACTCATTATCATAAAACAGAAATTATGCTACGATATATAAGACCCACGCTACGTACAGGTTGATTGGAGGGGCGATTTCTGCAAGAATATATGCTTTGTAAAGGTACATACATGCCATATATATGTAAAGAATTATGAACACTTTAAAGCACTGGGGTCCTGTAAATATAATTGAAAGTGCATTTAATGCTCAAAATGAGTATTTTACTTTTGACCCTATTATTCTGCGTTTGTCATTGCTCTGTTAGGATTTTATTTATTTTCATAGGAATCATAGCTGGGATATGTCTTGGTGTGTTTGCGTGTGTCACAGCCCTATGCACTGCAGGTATCATCATTATTGTTCGACGGAGGTGAGCATTTTTTTTTTGAGCATGAATAAAGATATAAATGAAGTATACTAACCTGAGTTAACTTCCCACAAGATGGCCATGTACCTCAACATAATTGTGTCTTTGTTTATAGTAATTTTTGTTCCTTGGTTTGTGTTAATTGTCATCATGGTGGCTATAATTAAATGCTTTTTTGTTGGTTCTGTTCGCATTTCATTTTTATGTGTTAATTTTGTTTTAGAAAACGAAATACTGTTTTGGAGGAAAAACGAATTGAACGAGATAGTTCTGGTGCCATCACCGAGGCAAGAGATGAGAAAGACGGTGACAGTCAGGGGGCTAGGCTCTCAGATCTCTACGCTAAACCGATCAAATTTAAAGCCAATACTTATACTTCAAGTGCGGAAGAGGCTCCACAAAACACGACGCTTCTTTCTCACAACCCCAGCGAGACTCCCTCAAAGGAACCTGAATATTCAAGTGACGTTCTTTTGGTGACAAATTCACTATATGACACCGGGACTGAAGACTCTGTTAACATGGTTGAAAATGATATATATGGCTGACTGTTTTGTTTTTTGAGAGTTTTTGAGAGTTTTCATGTTTGGTACGTGCAGAGCGTACCAGGAATATATTTTAACGAAAAATTTTACCAACACCGGAAGTCTCATGGATAACATATAAAATAAACCATACAAAACCAACTCTTTGCTCAAAAACTGCAGTATACACTTTTTAAAGTAAGATATCCCTCGTTTTCAATTACTGGTACATTTACATAAAGTACATGAAATATACTTTGGCTTAGAATGACACAAAATTATTTTGATTTGTATTTTGAGCAGTTCACCAATAATGTGTGGCGTGCGCTATAGTCAACATAGATATAGGATAAAGGTGCCGACTTGTGGTTCAGATTAATCAGTTGAACGTATATTTGTATCTTTGTTTTATACATCTGCAGCGCAAAAAATGTCTATTATTACATATCGAACAGTTCAGATTTTGATTGAAATATAAAAACATGTATCACGATTCTTGATCACTGGCAGATCCAAGATTTTCACCCCATTCTCATAGATTAGATCGACCTACATTGGATCGACCTAACTCCCTGGGGGTTCACGCTAAATAGCTGTCAGCCGGGCGGACACGAAAGTTAATTACCCCTTATAGCTTGTAGTAGGCGGGGACGGACACTTAAGGCGGATTATCTGACAGTAATCTAGTGAGACTCCCCGCGGTGATAGATCGAACTAAAAAGTTGTGAGAACAGAGCCTTTGATTGGGGGTCAAAAATAAAAAAGATAAAAAAGATTTTAAAAAAAGATAAAAAAACAGTCAAGGGCAAATTCGTAGTGTCACTGGTGAACACGGTTTTCCCCATTGTTGGCCATAATCTACGGCTGTATTCCCAGAGCTTTTAGATCGATCTATCCCCGCGGGGAGTTTCACTAGATTACTGTCAGATAATCCGGCTTAAATGTCCGTCCCGAATACTACAAGCTGTAAGGGGGTAATTAACTTTCGTGTCCGCTCGGCTGACAGCTATTTAGCGTGAAGCCCCAGGGAGTTAGGTCGATCTAAAGTAGATAGATCTAACCTCTGGAAATGGGGTCTACGTTTATAATGTCAGTTCACACTCTCCAGTAGGCCCCTATATGTAAGTGTCTAAGTGTTTATTCCATTAAAAATTCCCATTGTTGAATAGATAATTCGGGCTGTGGTATGCCATAGGCGTCGAGATGATAACTGTCAAGTGAATCCTTGCAGAAAGATTTTCGCTTGTGACTGAGGTACCGTCTTGGTTTGCATTTCTCAGTTTTCTTTTTTTATTTTTTTGTGGGAATTATTCATTTAGAATTCGTCCGAGGACTCGTCATCACTGTCCTTGGGTGGAGGTGCTACCTTCTTTGGCGGAGGCTCGTTCCATATGATCCTTACTCCAAGTTTTGATTTTATACGCAACCCTTTCTTCTCACAATAGGTGGCGACCTTGTCCTTGTCGTCAAGAGTGGCTATGTACTGATTTCGACAATCTCCACAGTGGAGCACAAGGCAGACCTTCAGACCGATCACGTAGATTTTGGCATTTGTAAAATCCAGTTTTGATTCGTTTTGTACGAATTTTTGCATGCCCTGTAGTACCCTCTTGTCCACGTCTGGGATGGTGAGCCAGAGTCTCTGGATGGGCCCCGTGAAGTGATGGGCTGTTATCTGGGTGTGGCAGTCTATGGTCTCCTCTACACTGCCTTGCTGGAATAGAGTTTGTATATTAATATATATACATATGAGTTTTAAATGAATAGAATTTATATTTATTTTTACCTTTTCAATAAATGAATAAATTAGTTAGTGAAGAAAGGAATAAGTGAATGAATGAATGAATACATTAATTAATAGACCAAATCGTTAAGACAATCCTTTCACATAAGTATATTAAAATGAAATTAATATAGCAGTAAGTTAATTAAGAAAACGTAACTGCATAGGTTGCTAAAAATAACACGCAACATTTGCCGCACACAGAAAGTGCACAGCGCACCCGGCATACATATTTCCATTGATCTTCATTTATAAAAACATCACCCTGTCTCCACCCACACTACACAGTATTTGATGCCAAAACTCAAATATCTCATTTTGAATGAAATATATTTCCTTTTCCCCTCTTTTACTCTTTCACTATTTTCTCCTTGTTGTCCCCTGCAGCTGTGCTAATATGCAGCCGTCTTGTAGTTGGATTTACCCCCCCCCCCCTAAAAAAATTGGAAAATTATTAAGTAGCCAATTACCACACTTTTATCACTCCCACCATTAACAACAACAACAACATTCACAACAACTACAGCAACACCGCTCATTGCCACGTACTTACTCCGAGATTTTTCTTCCTTGCATGCGACACAATTTTGTCCATCGGGTTCACCTCTATGGCGACGGGCTGCTTTGGTTTTCTCTTTGACATGGTTTTGATTCTCTCAAAATACTTTTGATTATGAATTAGCTGTTTTGGGGAAATATTGCTGCTCTTTTGTTTGCTCTATTGTAAATTGAAATATTTTCAGTGCCATTTAATAGGTCAGTTTCATTTGAATGTCTGTTGATTTCCTCATTAATCAGAGATATCAGGACAGAATTACAATCCTTCTCAATCAGCGGCTCCTCGGGTGCAGTAGAACAAAATAGAGATTTAAATCGGTACTCGGAAATTTCTGCGCTGCCGGGACACCAACCTTTTTTTCTCGGTATATGGTTTAGATCAGCAAGTCTTTTATAGTCCTCAGTTTGATTCACATTCACTCTCCTTGGGTACACTGTAACTTCGCCTGTCGAAAGACCATTTTGACCGATCTGCCGCTACTCTTGCTTCTGGCACTACGACGATATTATATTAAGCGTCACGTAGTCATTACGGTGTCATCCTTATTTATACGTGAGCTGTGAACAGGCATTAAATAGTCCTTAATCCAAAGTGAGTGAATATCTTAATTAGCCATCCTGTTCTGGAAGTACTGCTGTCACTGTACTCAAGCATAGGGTATGGCGGCTTGTGTCGTTACTTGTAACTTACCAGAGTATGGTGTCTATTTATATTTCAAACAAACTTTCTGTAGTTACAAGTCTTTAATACCTCAGACCTATTGTTAAGATGTTGTTGTTTTGTTAAGACTAGCGCGCGTAGTTGTTGAAATAACAGTCTGCGTTGACTTTAGGTCAAGTTTGATGAAATGAACGCATTCATTAGATTTGTTTGAAATGCTTATTACATTTCTGCTCCATTACATGCGTTTTCCCGAAGAAATCTTATATTCTTCTCCTTTCTTTTTAGTTTATTTTTCACTGATAATACCATACGTGTCCAAAGTATGTTTTTGAAAGACAAGAAGAAGTATCTTGGATTATGAAAGATATAACTATCTAAAAATACATTGTATTGGTATAAAAACGTGATCTTATCTAACCAAAAATCTCGCTACTTCACTGTATTCCCTGAGTCAACCGAGTGACCCTACTTCTAAAGACAAACAAAACAGATTGAAAAGTTACATTGAACTTTATTAGACCAAAATGACTCGTGCCTTTCAGTAATCGGCTAGTAGGAGGTAGAGTCCTTTGTCCCTATTCAGGTACTTATGTATGGACTGACGCGCGCAACAACAAATCGTGTTGACGTTCTGTTTGAATATACAGCTTTCGGTAGGAATTAGTACAGTTGAAAGGGCGTCAGACACGAACCTCGAAGGCCCAAAGCCGGGAGGGGGGTCGAGGGGTTCGAGCTAAGCGCTCTTTTTGCCGGAAAAGGTCCGCTCTGGGTAAAATTTGATATATATATATGTAAACAAAGGTTTAATGTATAGGGTCCTTTTTTTTCAGAAAAAAAAGCTTCTTGAAATTCTTAGCTACAGCCTGCCTAGGATTTTCTAGTATAGGACGAAGAGTAAACTTTTTTCAAAGTATACACTATATAATCTCCAAGCCGACTGATATACGCTTATACCTAATGTTAATTTAATCTTTAATTAACATGTTTTTAATTATGCTTAAAAAACTTTTTATCAGATGCAAAAACATTATATACAAAACAATGCGCACTTTCCTGCATTGAGTTTTGAATGCGCTTTTACCTTCCAACAATAAAATGGTAGAAAACCGATGTAACCTGTTTATATCACTGAAATCTCATTGCTGTATTACTGATATTATCTTTATAAACATTCACACAAAATTAAAGGAATTGGTAGTGTAAGTCGCTGCTTAGTCTACAATCAGATAATCTAGTTTCAATTAAGTTACAGAAAGCGTGCTCAGCATTTATACCCTGCAAACATATTTTTTAAAATTGCTGTAATTAAATAGGCTACATGTACAACATTTGGAGCCGTCATAAGCTAAGATTCACCATTACAGCTATGAAACATAAGTATGCCGTTAATTTATTGCGTTGCCTAATTCAGCCTCGATTTCCGCGAGGGGACCATCCAGGTATCCATTAAGAACGCGCAAATATTCATCACTAGTACTGCTATAGGGGTCACTGTTCACATAGATGCTACTGTCTCTAACGCAGCGCGACCCGGGTTCTTGACCTGCCGTTCGCTTCTTGACCTCGTTTCCGTTTTCCTCTGCGTCACTTCCGCTAGCCACATCGAGGCGGAAGGAGTCGTGGTTCAGGTAGATGTCGGATTGCCGGTTGTCTTGAGCGGCGGTGTCGGTCCATTTCCTGTCTCGGAATGAGTTGTGGTGATCCATATCGGCATACAGACTATCGCTCACTGTCTGGCGCTTATTACCGACTGAATACGTATCCGTTGTTGAGGCATCCGATCCATGATATCCAGTCTGTGGTTGATCAAAAGAATAGGTATCTACTGCAGAGGAATCAAATTCTTGATATTCGGCCTGTGGCGATTCTAAAGAATAGGTGTCCATAGCGGGGTGGCTGTGTTCAGCCTGTTGGAAGCCTACGGAATACGTGTCCACAGCAGATGTACGATTTTGCTGAAAGTGTTCGTGTGCTTGTTCTGGTAGGGTGCCCAAAGACGAAGGAGGCAAGCCGTCGATCTCGGGATAATGATTCGCATATTCTACCTCCCCCTCTCCCTGTTCAGAGTCTGTCTGGTCAGTTAAGGTGTACACATCACAACTTTCCGAGGTTGTGGTCGCGTGGTATCCCGAATCACGCTGGGATTTAGGTCTGTCATGCCCGTGTGTAGGGTGAGAGCGATGGGCCGCGGGAACTGGGATGAGGGACTTCTCCAGAGGAGGCACGGCATAATAATCTTCGTCATCGGCGCCTTTTAAATCATCGTAATCCTCCTCCTCCTCCTCGCGTTCCTCGGCGATGCAGTATGTGATATGCTGAGTGCTGGTGTTACTTGAATGCTTGGCATTGGAGCTGTGGCCCGAGCTGTTTTTACTATAGGTGGCGCCAGAGGAGAAATTGGTATCTGTGCTTATTCTGAAGTCAGTTTCGGTGGATGAGTAACGGTAGTCAGCTAGACTGGTGTGTATGTACACCCTGTCCTCGTCTCCCGTGAGTCCTTTCGTATAGGAAGCCGTGAGGAGAGTGCTTTTAGAGTTGGAGTTTGAGTTGGAGTGAACGGAAGTGAGGTCGGCGCAGCCGTCATTTTCAAGACCATTTCTGATCCCGAGACTTCCGCTTCCTCTGCCCTGGTACTGGCTCTTGAACAGGTCCTCGTTTTCAAGGTTGACGGGTATCTTTGATTTCCTAATAAAATATGTATGGATATAAAATCGTAATACATGTGGACAATTTCAAATTAATCTTCCTCATTACTAACGTTTGGTATATGCATTCATTCTTTAGCAATCACATACATAACAACCTTCAATTGGTACTTTGTGTAACATATATTGATATTGTATTCAGAATGTTATAAATGTGCCTGCACAGCACTTGGCGTCATTTCACAGTGTCTAAAACCCTCCACACGGTTTATTTTTTCCACTGCAAAATTTGTATTAGCAACCGATGAGTGAAGAGGAGAAGCAGTTGCTTCTATTATTCTCGTCATCATTAAATAAACAAACAAAAAAAAAATTATATGAATCAAAGAGGAGAAAATTAAGATGATAGCTGGAGAAAAGTCCCGTTGTTGCTGTTATAAAATGAATAATTATAAATGAAAATGTAATATCAAAATAATAATATAAAATTCATGGAATGTTCATTAGACTGTACAACATAAAATATTTGATTTACAGTGTACAAACAGGCTATATAATTGATGACAGTGGCGCACGCGCGATGACGTCAAACATACACTGTGTACAGTACATGTACATCCATGTGAAGAACGTGATTTAGTATGTACACAGATTAAATCAATGCTGCTTTTACGTTTAAAGGTTTATCTTTGTACATGTAACTATATTTTTCGTGTTCGTGTACTTACTTGTAACTTAATATTTCCATGTACTCACTTGTAACTGTTTTCAATGTGCTCACTCGTTACTATATTTTAATGTACTCACTTGTAATTATACTGTTTTATGTACTCACTTGTAACTACATGTATATTACAGTGTATTTCTTGTACTCACTTGCAACGGTGGGAAATGAAAATTGCGAGCATGATGATGACGGCCACTGTAAACACCAGTGAACATCCAATTCCCACTTTCACAGCTGTAAAAAAGATAACGTGCAATTAGTTATAAACTGTGATGATATAAAAGGAAATCAATTAACCATTTAATCAGTCAATCCCTTGACTGCATGTTACTCGTCCAGAGACATGAGGGTTGAAGAGGCAGCGGCTCTCCTCCAGGCTGTTCTAGCTGACGGTGGCCTTGGTTAGGAGCTGTGGCATATTCATAGCTGTCCATAGCTCCTTCCGTTGTCGGACCAGCAATGTAATGGGAATGCAGCTATGTAAATAATAACCTATTATTTTCATGCAATAAGTCGGTTGTCACCAGGTCAAAGACCAAATGATGGAGTTTGTAAAAGGTTAATAATTAATTAAATAATTTATACTTTATCATTAATTAATTAATTAACAATGGTAATTCAAAAATGATTTGTCAATAACGTACGGCTAGAATCCGTCAGCAGTGTATTAACTTTAAAATATTTGGTTTATTTTCCAAGATATAACTTCTTCAAGCGAAATTCCGTGCTGGTTCTTAAGTACTCTTGGTATAATACTGTTAGTGGTATCTATGTACCCACTGGAAGAAAATTGTCAAATGGGGATAGGGGGTTTGATTCTAAGTCGCATTTGTGATATTACAGGGCCTAAACATTATGGGTTTGCTTTTCTGACTATTATCATTGTCCGATGGACCTAACTGGTTGTATTTCCAACATATCCATGACTCATACTACGTGTTATCATGATCTGTATATAGTGACGGTTTTCCTTCGATGGCACATACAGGGAGGGTCCAGGAGGGTCACAGCGAGCAGGTACCTCTCCTACCCCCTCCCCACCCTCTTCTCTTTCCTCAGCAAACAGCATAATGAGCAAAACGAGACAACATAAAGTAGTGTTTTACCATTCCTTGCATATCAAAATAAAGGTGTCCCCGTCGACTGTTTTAGACAATTTTGCAATCACCCCCCCAAACACACACACACACACACACACACAGTCCCAGATCCGCCATTGACAGCATGTTTCCAATTATATAAGATTTCAGGTGTGTTATTCAAAGTGGCTTGGTGTATATCATCACCAATCTGCTGTTATCTCATAGATAAACTGATACCAAATTGATGTAATCGCCTCCAAAACTAACGGCAATTTAAACCAGGTGGATTCTGACCCGAGAGACATGGCATTATTTGTAATTGTTAACTCTGGGCGTATATTGACACGTCGCATCGATATGCCATATTAGAGGACGATGATTTTATCGTATTTAAATAGACAACATGGGTAACAGCAGATGAAGGTATATTTGCTCTAGAATCAATTGAAACCCGTATGTTATTGAACTAATGTGCTTGGGACATACATATGCGCATGGCGAAATAGGAAATGGTACATTGTAGGCATGCTATTACAATAATTTGGTTTTTACATTGTTATACAATTATTGCAATGTGCTCATTTTATCTGCCGCACCTTGCCAAGAGAATGACAAGAACGTTTAAATAACTTGAATAAAGTTTAAATATTCTATCACGGCAATAATGCATTTGGTGCATGTGACAATACCTGTTGGTAAGCGACCAAACCATTCCAGGAGGGCGACTATTGGGTCGGGGGGCGCGGTTGCCTGTGGCGTAATACTGGTAGTAGTAGTGTTGTTTGTCCACGGAGGCGGCCAGTAGCCTTGAGTTGCCATGGCCTGGGTGTTGTGATACCTAAGTTTTATACAACAATGAGATACGACAATGGAGATTCTGTATGATATGTTCATGTAATTAGACGTACATTATCTGTAACATAAGTTTGTTTTCTGTAAAACCTCAGCATAATTATTGTGTTTGCAACCGGATCCTACTGATGAGAAATTATTGTAACATTTCATTTAAAAGTGAAAACAAGTTTTTTTTTTGGAAATATTGCAATTTCGCATATCATCTTCGATACTTATTTTGGTATTGGGCAAAATACAAAACGATTCCCTCAACAAACAATAGACTTAACCAGCTACATAAATACAAATAGACAAAATCAAATACCTTACCTCTTAACGTTGTCGATTATCTGTTAAAAGCTTCCAACAGTACAAAACAAGACAGGCGTGTTTCATGCATAGTGATTACAGATCCAACGCTGAAAACGACTGCTATCGCTTTACTGATTGCGCACCGTGTGTCTGAATTTGGACAAAGTGATATCACCACCTATCAGTGGCCGGTCTGATAAATCAGATACCTTAACTGTGTTATCTGTTTGCTGTTCCCTGCAATCGTTCCGGGGTCTACTTCCATAGCTGATGAGTGCAAGTGGATTTGGTCACAGAAAAAAACGAACAATGCGTTCCTTTTTATACAAAGACGTTCCGTAGATACACGGTCCGAGCTTATAATAAGATTATTTGTTGTCTCTTAACCAAGAGTTGTGAATGATTTTTAGCATAATTTTAGTGTACAAAAAAAAAAAAAAAAAAAAAAAACAATCAAATAAATAAATAAATAAAATCAACACACACATGGATGAAAAATAGTTGATCATCGGGAACTAAGCAAATTTTATCTAGCTTTTATCTAGTAACTGATTGAAATGTTGGGAAGCAAGACAGACTCCGAGCTGCAGCGTCAGACCCCACTCTCTCTGGCTCACTGATAACACATTAACAACAAATTCAGGCAAAACCAGTGCGATATTTTATTTTAAGGGAAGGTCGTTAAACAAAATCACAGACTGAGCGACAAATTATTAAGGGATTGAGAGAAACCCGCAATCTCTTTAGGTGTTGATATCAGCAATGGTTTGTGCGGCACATCTCAGATAATCCTCATTTTTTCTCTCTTTTTCCTTATCTGGCCGCCCCTCCCTGTCTTAGTAAGCCACAAAATTTATTTAAAAGTTGCAAAAGCAATATATTCTCCAAGCATTTACACTGTAACTCAAGCTATTTGGCGTTTGCATATGGTTGAAAGTTTGACAAGCTCTTCAAGTGAAATAAACATGATAAGACTGGAATTTATGAAAGTAATTGTTCCGTGTTAAGTTACTCTGCGTCCTGAAAAAAATGAGATAAATCTCTTTTTCAAATCACTGATGATTATATAATTCGTTTTCCTTTAGCTCTACAAAATTCTGTGTTTCGTCTACATTTCTATTTTTGGCTTTATTCGGTTTGCTGTATAAACGGCTCACATCTTCATCTCGATCACTATTTGCGTTATCCTTCTTCGGTCCATCTGAAATTTTGATGTCTGTCATTGCTGCCTTGCCAGTATGTTTAGATGGGTTATTTGTTGCGTATGCGTACGCATTTTCGTCCTCGAGAATGAGAGGTGCCATGCGTACACGGGGTGTTGCGTAACTGTACGCATTTGAATCCGTAGTATCTTTCGTACAATCTGCTGGAAGAACGGTGGAAGCATAGGCGTAAGTGTCTTGGTTTGTGTTTTTGTCCTGCACGCCACTTCGAGGAATTTCTGAATATTGAACACCGCCACTAGCCTGAGCCGCCCTGTGTGAAAACAAATTATTTGCAGCGTAAGTACAATATCAATTAAGCAGTGCAAAAAAGCATACCTGTCGTTATTCTTTTTGTTTATTTAAAATATTTAATATTACAATTAAGGCAAGTTCTAGTACGAAGAGTACAATATCAATTAGGCAATGCATAATACATCATTCCTATTGTTATTCTTTTTGTGTACTTCAAATATTCAATGTTCGATTCACGCGATTTCTAGGTACAAAGAGTGCAACATCAGTTAAACAGTACATAATATAATATTCATATCGTTATTCTTTTTGAGTAGGCTTATTTCAAATATCAAAAATGTTAAGATAAAGGCAAGTATGAGTAGAAACAGGAACAACAGTAAAAAAACTTAGTGAACAGGGAACACTTTAAAATTGTAGACTCTAAGACAAAGAAAATGAGTTAGTAATAGCTTAGACAAGTTATTTTAGACCTACTGGCTCACCTTTTACGTCGTTTGCAAAACACCACGAGCACCACTACCACAATTAGAAGGAGAACTGCTACCACAACGCCTACTGCTATACCGACCACATTGCCCTGCGATGGAGCACCTGTAAAAAATATTTTACATTAAATCTCTCTTTAACCATTTTATTACCAGGTATTTTTGGACGATGGTATAGAATCACGTGATCATGATATTTTTTACAATAATAATAATAATAATAATAATAATAATAATAATAATAATAATAAATGAAAATAAAAAAATAAATATATTTAAAAAAACAGCTTAGATAATGGCAAATAAAAGCAATAACACACATTTGAGGAAAATATGAGGACATTGCTAAAGAAATTAAAAAATGTAATATTATTATAAAAAGAAAATATAGGAAAACACCTATACATAGAAAAGCACCCAGAGAGCACAGACTTCCGCAGAGGCTTCTCAACTCTTATACAGTACGTTGCATACTGAGTTGCCTTGCCTTCGCTTTCTGGGTGCTTTTCTTTTCCCTCCTTCTGCGCCTTTCCTTGAATTTCGCAAACAAAGCTGTGCTCTTCTGTGCAGGATACTGGTTCCCAGCTTCTAAATTCTGGTGAGCGATTATCAAGAACGACACAATGTCTCGATCCTCCTCCAACCACCCTATCTGACCAGTGCCATTCTTTTAGTTCTTGACCTAGAAGAGATAATGGTATCATTAATTATCACAGTTCGATTCTGATGTTTTGGCCGCTCGCCAGCATACTCAATGAGAATTTCTGGTTAGCCCCTTCTTAGTAACAGATCGATAAATCGTTTTCATAATTATTTCATCTGCATGGGGTATGTCTTTAATGTTTCAAATCGAAATACTGTTAAACCGGTGTGATGTAGTTCCGCAATTAGACGCAAATAAGATCCAATGTTGATACTAACCGCTGGACTCCCATCTCCATACATTATTCCTCAGTCCAATCCAACGCTCGTCGGGCGACAAAACACCAAATACCGACCAAAGTTTTGTCTGCAATTTTTCGGTTGTCACTTTTATGAGATCTGCATTGAGGACGTCACATGCTTGTCTCGCATGATACCACGAGTAGTACTGTTTGCCTAGACTGTACAGGATGCAACGACCATCCCATGGAAATACCTCAACATCATCGTTATTGCTCGGGGTACAGTTCATGTTCTCTCCAAGTTTACCTGTTGGGAAGACAATTTAGTCAAAAGATGGAACACTGCGTAAAACCGATCTTATAGACAATGTTATAAATAAATTTGAGCTTTTTTAGTCTTTTTTTCTTCATTTATTTATTTACTTGTATTAAAATTGTAATACCCTTTTCAAGAAGGCCTTTTTTTGCCTATTACGATAGCATTTTAATAGTTATTAAAACTGAAATAATTATTCAACAGAAACACATGTAATTAAAAATATATATTTACTTATGTGACCTTAAGTGTTCAAAAGAGATTTAGGCCTATAACGCACCTGTTTCGCAAACAAACCCTCTTCCTCCGAATTTAAAGCTTGATTTCCAAGTCCACTGCCTCCTGCTCCTTGAAAGCATCACAGCTGTGGACTCGCTGTTTGAGGTATCAAATTGATTGAAACCACCTACATGTAGAACACATGCATTTTTTTTTTACAGAGATATCAGCATAAAAAGTTACTTTTTGAGATACATTTTTGATTGATTAATTTTTTATTTTTAAATAATTTTAAAATTGTAAGAATGAATTTAGTAAATGATACTTTTCTAAATGGATGGATCTGCATGAGCTAAATGGTCCAAAACTGATTTAGTAGCGTTTGCATAAAGTGACATATTTAGCAGCATGTACACTACTGGGGTATAATCAAAAAGAATAAATGGGTACCCGTTTTAAAAGAGCTTTTGTTAGACAAAAAAGTTTCACAATTATATTTATGATATAACCGCATGCCTCCAAAAATAGGCGTTATAATTTAGTACAATCATGGACATAATTATGTGACGTCCATGGTACAATATTGTAAATCCTTAGAGGAAATGAAACGGACTACTACTTGGGATATATGAAGTTCCATCCAACCACGTCCATGTCGACATCACGTGCTCTCTTGCACCAATCCAAACACGTCTTTCTCCAGCTATCCCATGAAGTCTTCGCTGCACGTTGGCACTCCGAACTGTCGCTAAATGTCCGCCCTGTTCAAGACAATACTGCTCAGCAACGCTGAAGGTCATATTTTTATCAACTGTGAAGAAGCAGTGGTCGTCTTCGCAAAAGCAATCTTTATATTTTGCTGCGCATTTTTCTAAAAGAGGAAAATGCCCTTTACTACATGGTTAATTCACAAATCGGGAGAAATTAGCATCACATTGTGATATAAGATTGGCTGTGGGACTCTGAATATACCAGATAGTATATCTGAGATATACACTACCCATAGTGTTCTTAACTGGGTTTTAACAGCTATACTTATAATATGTCTCTTCATAATTATAAGTTAACGTGGTAAACGTTATCACGGGTGTTAATATTCAGTATTTGCATCAGGACGTTAATTAATGTACGAGAAAGTTGCTTCTCACGTACCCAAGTATGTGTTTTACTGGTGAATGTAGAAGTCGCAAGTTATATTTTTATACTATAAACTCGTTGTGACTTTACCCAGCACTTTTGTTAATATAGTGTAATACTACCAAGACCAGGAGAAGGGCAGTGTTGCCAGAGTGAGCCAAGAGGTTTGTGTGTGTGTGGGGGGGGGGGGGGGGGGGGGGGGGGGGGGGAGGAGCGCTTGACAACTACAGGAGAGGGTTTAAGTTGAGTGCGGCTCTTAGGGGCACTATGACCCCCGGGGGAAGGGGTTAATGACGACAGAGAGACTTAGGAGGGAAGGAGGAAGTACGTGTGTTGATAGCACTAGAAATGAATTTGGGGGAGGGACCGGGTTGGCTTATACAATGTACGTGACGGCAGACATTCGGAGGAGTCGAATACGCGGCTATGTCAATACTAAAGTTTACTTAGCTATGACCTGACCATAACCTGGTACTGATATCCGTAACGAAAAGTATTTTTTGCTGTAGAATAAAAACGCCAGCTATGAATAACGAAGCTATGAGAAGAGTTTAAGACTTAGGTGTGAGAATCTGACAAATGGGTGGTACATGTATAAAAAAACACAAAGCAAAGGGAGGTGTCGAAGGGGGGGGGGGGGCAGGGGGCAGGGGGGCACACGTACCTGTACCAGTACTCTCACTGCTGACAGCTCCGATGAGAGAGGAAAGAAACACTAGAATAACGATAATGTCTCTCCTGTCACTTTCATACACTAAACCCGCCATCTGGTCACTCTCACTGGCTTGGCGCCAGGTTCAGTGCTGGTTCCTGTCTCCACTGACTTGAGTCTGGGCTGAGGGTTGTCTCTCGAGGGTTGATATCGAGGACGCTTACGTCATCCTCAGTTAAAAACAGATTCCACTCTTCACGCTGTGTAAGTGTCTTAGAAGTCAATCAAGTCAATCAACACGCAGTAAACCTTTCACACACGGTCACATGTCGTTAACATGAGAAGTGGGACATTATAAAACATAATACAATATTATCGGTGTACATGGGTGCACGTAAAATTAGGTCACTTCCTGGTGCTCATTATGACTCATTCGCCTGCTTAAAAAGGGCCTCTGACTTCGAATCATGCGTTGACATGTAAACTTATACTTCATTTTTCTTTCATAAGAGAAAGGAAAATCCATTTTCTCCACTGTGACTATGGTTGCACGTGAAATTGAGCACTCTTATATATAACGTCCCTGAATCTTAACAATAGCTTTAAAAATTCGATCAGTCCAGTGTCATTCGCAGGCCCGTGTACAACTTGTTGCTCCACAGATTGATATTCATATTGATTCAACAGAGTTCATGTGACATTTTTTTCGTAACACGACGGATCAGGGAAACAAAGACTGACAAATACACGTATAATGAAGAATGTGCAGCAGGTTTATTTAACAGTGTTTATATTTATTTATTTATATATTTATTTATTTATTTATTTATTTATTTATTTATTTATTTATTTATTTATTATTGTTGTTGTGATATTAAATAATATTAATTTTTATTATATTTCTAGTAATAGTGGATAGTAGTGGTAATAATAAGAAAAATGTAAAAGCACAGAAGAAAGAATTATCTACTACAAATTGCCACAGTTGCGAAAGAATATTAACACCGGCGTTCGAACACAATGCATGGATACGAACGCAATATTCACATTAAAGCATTGATTCAGGTTTCACTCCTTTCTTTTTACAAGAGTCAGAACATATTATATCTGATTTTATTTATTTTATTAAAGTTGATTTTAGTGACAGAAAGTTGGACGGAACTTTGCAGCAAGAAGAAACTTATATTTATCATATTTATAATTATCTTTTATTTGAAAAATCATTATTTCTATAGTGTATTGTGGCTGCATTGAATATCATGGGAACACCATGAAAATTCAAAGCATATAGGTAATAATTTAGAAAAGAAAAATAATGTCAAAATTTAGAAATACACCGGTGCTATGACAAGTTAATGCTGAGCTTTTAAAGAACACTTTTGGAGTACACTTGCACTTATATTTTTCCACATCAGTGAGAATTTCAAGACATTATAATGAAAAAATTAAGATGTTATGACATTGTAGTAAAGCGCATTGTTTTCTGTGTTATTCTGCAGATTCCGAAGGTGATGACTTGACCAGTCTCTGTGGCCAGGAAAGGGTTCAACAACCATTCATAGCCATTTTTGTCTTCGATACACTCCTCTGAATAAATGTATACTGTAGAAAATGTTAATTTTAGCGAGCTTAATATTTTTATTTCAATGATTGACAGAGTATGATTCCATAATAGAAGTCTATAAATCCCTTCTTTAAAATGTCGACGTTATTGAAATTATCATCCATTTTGCATTTTAACCGAGGAAAACGATCTGATGGATCCAAAACTGTCCTACAAAATGGAATATTTTACTAAGAGATGAAGAAGGAAGGTATCACAAGCAATTAATGCCAACTGCAATCTGTTTTTTCACAACACAACAGAGCATAGAACGCCAGGAATATGACTTGTAACTTTGTATAACAGGAAACGAACTATAAAACGCTTTGTATGTAGGCATTAATTATTTCAATGAAGTTAATTTTAAGACAAAATGGTATTTGCCTTTTGGGTGATGGGGATGTAAAGTTAATGCACATTTTAATTGTATATTTAAACATTATTATCGGTGATCTTGTCATTAAGTCAAAGAGTACGCAGGATTTGCATATTGCACATCATGATTTTATTGGTAATGTGCGGTCAGTGTATAGGAAATTCACAAATGCATCATTAAACGATTTTACTATGGCTAGTCATGTCAAGAATCAATTTCAAAAAATCAGTGAAATGATAATTTAATTGAACAATTGATAAAATGCTTATGAAATAGAACAGTCGATAAAAATGGTAATGGACATGGTCAGTTATGACTGGACAATAAGATTGTGACTCCTACTAAAGAATCATTTAGAGGTATTCCTGTCAGTTTCGTAATATACTCTCGTCGCATTAAGTTGATCTTTTCTATGTAAGGGACGCCGGGGCAATAAACGATACGAGACTTACTCTGTTCGCGCCGTGGGTGCATGTATTGTAGAGGTCTTCGTTTTTCTGCCACCAGTGTACGGTTCTCTTACTTCGCTGCCACCAACAAAACAAGGTCTCTGTTTTGTAAACTTTATTTCTACGAATAACTCTCAACACAAATGTACATGTTTCTGTATCTTTTACTAAACACTGTCTCTATTCTTGCTGTACTGCTGTACTTCTAATTTAAACAACTGCAACTCAGCTACAATAAACTAACTGGAACTATATTGTGAAACTGACTCAAACTAAGTTGTGAAACTAAGTCTGACACTATACTCTCACTGAGTACTGCCACTATACTCTACAGTAACTCTAACTGAACTCTAACTGACCAACACTGCGTAGAGCAGCTGTATTTATAGGTTTCAAAAGTGGACGACCTTGAATGGTTCACTGCTACTCTGACTGGCAGCCAGAGGAAAAGTGGACGGCCTTGAATGGTTGACCGCCAACCCCTCTACTGGACACCACAATCCCCTCTTTAGTAAACTGATACCACTTACAAGCCATTCCAACTTAAGGTTCAAAGTTCAACACACACAAGAATGTAAACAAAAGGCTACAGCTTACTGCAGCAACTTTACCATGAATTTTAAGGCTATGTAAAATCGTTACAGTATTCCCCAGTTCGATTAAGGTCTATTAAATCAGAAACGTCAGTGGACTTTGCTTGTATTTAATACAAGTATACAATACCGTATATATATCGCACAGCCGAGTCTGGCAAAATTATCGCGTCATCTAACAGCTTAAAATACCCATGAAGTTAGGAATTGTAATTAATATATACTACTCATAATGCAAATCACACTATAATTTATGTCAATCAAAGCCAACGTATATTTTAAGAATTTTTATGTAAATAAGAACATGGAAAAGATCTCACTTTTTCATATTTACACAGTTTGCGAAATGAGAATAGGTTTTGTTTAGTTTATTCTGTGGGTTATCATTAGATATTTATTACCTGTGTTGGTAAAACTTTCGTTTACGATGTTCACGAACCTAACTACTTAACTCACAAAACAAAAGAGTCAGCCATATGAATCGTTCTCAACTATGTTAACATATTCAGGCTCATTTGAGGGAGATTCACTGGAACTGAGAACGAAGAGCCGAGTGTATTGTGGAGGCTCTTCCGGAGCTGAAGAATTAGATTGAAAGTTAATTGGTGTAGTGTAGAGATCTGAGTATCTCGCATCCTGGCTTTCACCGTCTCTTGTCTCTTGGCGAGTCTTTTGTTTTCTGAAATATTTTAATTAAAAATAAAAATCTTAATTTTAAATTAAAACAGCTATTAAACTCATCATTAATTAAAACCACTAACTAGGGGATAAGTATTACGGTAAATAAAAAATGTAAAAAATTATACTTATGTACAGGATCACCGTCTTGAAGCAACGACAGAATGAAATGTAATCCAATACTTTAGCTCTGACGGTAACTTCATTTACAGCTTCATTTATGTTAAAAAAATGCTCACCTCCGTCGAACAAAAATGATGATGCCAATGGATAGGGCGATGATACACGCAAACCCACCAACACATGCCCCTGCTATAGTTCCTATTGAAATAAAATACAAATGTTATATTGACAAATGCAGAATAATAGCGTTAAAATATAAAATATTGGCAGTACAGAGTATTCTAGCAGAAAATGACTTTCATATCTTAAACATCTAAGTTGAAGTGTGGGCCTTATAAAGCACATCGTATGTCAGTGTTGTTAGAAGAAGTGCATGACTAATGTTTCAGACCGATGCCTTTACTATCAAGTTGACTATGGTAGATTTATTTTGAATTCTTGTCAAAAAGTTAATCTAACTTTCTGGCTGAAGCTATTGTAAAATGAACGGAAGCAAAAATCCAACGCATTACCGGCGGAATCTTGAGATCTTTCTGGAAATGAAGTTTGAAAATTTTCTCAAAATTTAGACTCTATTTACAAAACACAAATGCAATTCAAATAGAGTTTCCTGAAGGGTTTTCTCCGTTCAAGCCCTTCTGATGGTCTGTCTGAAACCCTTTTTAATTAAAATTACCACCCAGATATAGCCCCTTTTCGATAAATCCTGACAATTTCAAGACCATTGAATAAATGCGCTTGACGAGTTAGAGGAACATGTAGATGGGTTGGGGAAAAACGTTGTATTACAACAGTCACCGGTGCAGTTAATAAAACTGCTTTAAGGGACACACAAACCGAGGAAGAGTGCTATCATAGTTGTTGAAATGATAAGAGCTGCCGTGTGTCTGGGGGTAATTTGAATTAGAGCTTCTTAATTTAGAGTGTTTAAAGTTGTGAAAGTGGTGTTTTTGTATATCATTTCCGAGTTAAACCGCTTAGTACGTCCGTTTAAGGTGAACAAATAACGCTTCGTACTGCGATTTGCCACCTTCATTACAAACTATACTTTAAATTAAAAGGATTTTTCACAATAAAGATTTGGTTGCCTTGCCTGCGCTTTTTGAGTGTTTTTCTTTTTCCTCCTTCTTTTGTACCTCTCCTCGAATTTCGCAAACAAAATTGTGCGCTTCCGTGCAGGATGCTGTTTCCCAGCTTCTAAATTCTGGTAAGCGATTATCAAGAATGACGCAATGTCTCGATCCTCCTCCAACCACCCTATCTGACCAGTGCCACTCTTTTAGTTCTTGACCTAGAAGAGATAACAGGACCATTAATTCTTAGCGTTTGCTTCTTATTTCACGGCCGTTTGCAAGCATACTGAATAATTATTTATAGTAAGATGCATTATAAGTAACAGATCAAGAAATCGTTTTCATTATCATTTAATCTGCACAGAGTATGTTTTCAATATTTAAAATCAAACTACTGTTAAATTGGTAATTTATCTGACTACTGAAATGCACATTCAGGATAAAAAATATTAATGAAAGCTGTTTATTCAACTGGAAGCTATTTATTCGACTGTAATATCAAATTCTCAAGTGTGATGTTGTTAAACAATTAGACCCAATGATTATAAGAACCAATGATAATACCAACAAGTTATAAAGAGAAGGTCCTTCTCTATATAACTTCTTGATAATACTAACCGCATTACTCCCATCTCCATACATTATTCCGCAGTCCAATCCAACGCTCGTCAGGCGCCAAAACACCAAAAACCGACCAAAGTTTTGTCTGAATTTCTTCGGTTGCCATTTTTATGAGATCTGCATTGAAGCTGTTACATGTTTGCCTCGCTTGATACCACGAGTAGTACTTCTTGCCTAGACTGAATACAATACAACGACCATCCAATTCATATACCACGACGTTATCGTCATTGCTGGGAGTACAGTTCAGTTCAAGTTTACCTGTAGGCAAGACAATTTAGTCAGATGTTTGAACATTGCGTTAAACCAATCTTATAGACAATGTTCTAAATAATTGGAGTTTTTTTGTCTTTATTTCTTCATTCATTCATTTACCTGCTTTCAAATGTATTCCTTTTCTCGAGAGGGCATTTTGTTGCCTAATAGGCCTACGATAACATTTAATCAAACTGGTTATTAAAACTGAAATGATTCTTCAATGGAAATACACACAATTTTAAAACAATAACGTATGTGATCTTAATTATTTAAAAGAAATTTATAACGCACCTGTTTCGCAAATAAAACCTTTTTCTCCGAATTTAGAGCTTGATTTCCAAGTCCACTGCCCCCTGCTCCTTAAAAGCATCACAGCTGTGGACTCGCTGTTTGAGGTATCAAATTGATTGAAACCACCTACATGTAGAACACATGTATTTTCTTTAAAGAGATATCACCAAATATAGTTGCAATTTGAGATACATATTCAAATGGTTTTATAAAAATTGTAAGAAAATCAAGGAACTAAGTAAATGATACTTTTCTAAATCATGGATCAGCATGAGCTGTACGGATCAAAACAGATTTACTAGCGTTTGTATATTATGAGTGTCATATTTAGCACCTTGTACAGTACTAGGGTACAATCAAAAAGAATACTAGTAAATGGGCATCCGTTTTAAAAGAGCTTTTGTAAGACAAAAAAGGTTTAACAATTATATTTATGATATAACCGCATGCCCCCAAAAATAGGCGTTATAATTTAGTCCCATACAGTAAATCCTTAGAGGAAATGAAACGGACTAATACTTGGGATATATGAAGATCCATCCAACCACGTCCATGTCGACATCACGTGTTCCCTTGCACCAATCCAAACACGTCTTTCTCCAGCTATCCCATGTAGTCTCCGCTGCATGTTGGCACTCCGAACTGTCGCTAAATGTCCGCCTTGTCCACGACAATACTGCTCAGAAGAGCTGAAGGTCATATTTTTATCAACAAGGAAGAAGCAGTGGCTGTCTTCGCAAAAGCAATCTCTATATTTTGTTGCGCACGTTTCTGAAAGTAAGAGGAAAATGCATTTTACTTCAGGGGTAATACACAAAAGGGGATAAATGATCGTCTATTTGAATTTTGAAATAGTCATTATAATTATTATTATTATTATTATTATTATTATTATTATTATTAGTAGTAGTAGTAGTAGTAGTAGGAATAGTTAATGTAGTAGTATTTTCAGTTTAATAGATCAAACTACATTGGCGGGTTAACATAAAGGCCAAAAAGATCAACATTTTGAGGTTTTACTTTAAAAAAAACAAAATAAAATCTTTAGCTATAGATGTTAATTTCCCCCCTTTCAAATACACGGCTTATCTTAAAATAACGATTTACGGTGGCAGGTGCGGATTCCCTTTTCTTATCAAATGTAGCGAACACACACCAGTGGCGGGTTTAGAGGGGGGTCAGGGGAGTCCTGATCCCCCCCTTTCTGTTTCTGAAAAAAATTCACACTGAAATTCCCCTCTTGGAATAAGAATTTGACTGGCAGATTTATAATTCTTATTCGTTCAAAATGACACTGTTTGCCCTCCAAAACACTCCAAGGGGGCGAGGGTCGGCTTCTTATTCGAGGCCTGTCATTCCTGAAAAATCGGACCCCCTCCTTCAAATAATCCTCGATCCGCCCCTGTGTACAGCCAAACTGGCCCTCTCTGTGAGAAGTAGAAACTTACTAATAATTGATCCGTAGCTAATTAACGAAGCTGCTATGGCTCCTTGTTAACGTCGTCCTCTTACACATTGCTAGACAATTATAAATACGCAGGTTCGAATATCAAAATGTTCAAGATGTCTTGCTCGAAATAATTTCTAAAAATTGCGTTTGATTACTATAAGAGTGTGGCGGTTCACTCACATCGAAGTCGGTAGCGTGCTTGGTTGCAAAGAAAAAAAAGAAAAACTATTCATCAGCAAACCATCGTAACGGCATGTCACGAGTTCGAATCCCAGATGACGCATATCAGTTCACCACAAGAACAAGCTGATCCCGCAATCCAAAACGAATGCAGGCTCTCGTATGTCAGAGCGAATGACCTTTTGCATAAAAATCCGGTATAGTTTAGAATTAGTGATCGATTTTGACAACAAATTATTGCTCGTTATTATCATAAAGCCTGCGTCATCAATTATATTTCTTTTTTCTTTACTTCAAAGTCTTTGAATGATACTTAGGCGGGGATGGTCATTGATCTCTATCCTTTACCAACTACGCAACAGATCAAAATTCAATTGAGTCAATACCTTACCCGGCATGGCGTCATGCATGGCGTACAGCTCTTTCATAAAAAAAACTATCTGCTCGTTGGGACTGTCAGCTAGAAATGTTTTTTCAAAAGTCACATTGTCGCTGTTGCTTTACCTAACCATACATTTTGTTTTTCTAATGCCCCCACCCCCATTATTTGGCCTTGCTTATCAAGACTGTACATATATTCATACAGTACCCGGGGCAAATCCACAGTGGACGTTTGAAATGAAAGAGACTACTCAGAACTAACACCGCCATTTTGTGAACCGCTTTGGCTCTCATCGTGCTCTATAACGTGGTTGGTAGCTTTCCCGTTATAGCACCTCGTCATACTACCTGTAAACTACGGTCAGCAGAAAAAATGGGACCTTCCCGGCAGAATTATTTGCAAGATATATTTTCTCAAAATTGGCTTCGTCGGGGATGGGGAGAGGGGCACACGTACCTGTACCAGTACTCTCACTGCTGACAGCTCCGATGAGAGAAGAAAGGAGCACTAGAATAATGATGTCTCTCCTGCCATTTTCATGCACCAGACCCGCCATCTGGTCACTCTCAGTGGCTTGGCGCCAGGTTCAGTGCTGGGTCCTGTTTCCACTGTCTCGAGTCTGGGCTGAGGGCTGTCTCTCGAGGGTTGATGTCGATGACGCTTAAGCCATCCTCAATTAAAATAGACTCCTCTCTTCACGATGTGTAAGCGTTTTAGAATTTGATCATTTGTAAAAGTCACACACAGTCACATGTTGCTACCATAAAAAGGAAGTATTATTATACGTTAATACAATATTGTGCACGAAAAATAAGGTCATTTCCTAGTGCTCACTATAGTGACTCATTCGCCTTCATTTTTTCCCAATTCTAATTGTGACGAACTAAAATCATTCCCATTTCTCGACACAATGATTCCTCATTTTTATGCTGTTCATGTAACTATCTGAGTTTTTTTTTTATTTTACAACGTGGCATTTCTAAAGTATATAATGCCATTGAACCTTGACAGCAGCTTTAAAAATTCGATCAGGCCCGTGTCATTCGCTGGTCAGTTTGCCACATGTTGCTCTACAGATTGATCCACCACAGTTCATGCAATATTTTTTTAGGAACATGATCAGGGAAAGAAAGACTGACGAATATAATGAAAAATGTGCAGCAGGTCTATACAACAGTGTTTATATTTATTATTTATTAATTTATTAATAGTTGTTGCTGTTGTTGTATAGTGCTCGACCCCATTTCCATAGATTTTAGATCGATCTATCCCTGTGGGGAGTCTCACTAGATTACTGTCAGCTTAGCCGGCTTTTAAGCGTCAGTCCTGTCTTCTAAAAGCAGTAATGGGGTAATTTAACTATGGTGCGCGCTCGGCTGACTGCAATTTAGCGTGAACCCCCAGGGTGGTACATGTAGGTCGATCTAAATCTAAATCTCTGGACCGATTTCAATCTCTGGGAATGCACCCCTAGTTACAGTAGGAGTGGTAATAATAAGAAAAATGTAAAAGCACAGAGGCAAGAATTATTTACTACAAATTGCAACAGTTGAGAAAGAATTAACGCCCAAACACAACGCATGGATAGGAACGCAATATTCACGTTTAAGCATGAGTCAGGTTTTATCCTTTTAATTAAAAATTAATTTAAAAAAACATTTTTTTTTCGAAACACGAAACTTAATTCACGAATGATTTTCACCGTACATTTTCCTATGACTATACGAGAAAGACAGCAAAAAGTGTGTGTGTGTGTGTGTGTGTGTGTGTGTTTTTTTTTTTTTTTTTGACAAATCTTAATTCAAATACAAAGGTCAGAATCACAAAGCGTGCAAAGTTTTACACTCCATTTACTGTAAAAACCCTGTCATTTGTCTTGTTTCCGACCTCTTGCATCAGATAATTCTCTACCTACTGTAGTTAGTGGTGCTTTAGTAATGGTACAAAAGGTTGGAAATGTTTTCTCGCTGTGGAGCCAGTGGAATTCACACCCGTTTTTTATCAATAACCTCGTTTATTTACCAAGCAAAATAACGCAACACGCTGGAAAAGTTAACAATTTTTGGAGTTATAAAGTATGTTTGATGCACTTGCAGGTTCACCGGCTACACTTTGCAAGCAGAACCAAAAGGTCCAGCTTGGCGAGAAAAACCTAGGAAGATTTATTTCATGGAATAGGTATCAAACATGTGCCCATTGTACATGTAGGTGAAGGGACAGTCTTTTGTTCCAGGATTATATTTGCATAAGAAAACGTACAACAAGGCCCGCCTTTAAACACATAAACTGTTTTCCAATGATGGTTTCTTCCATGTAATGAGAGTAAATAATACAAGGCACAACTTAAAAGGTGAAAGAATAAAAAACAATAATGCTTAAATTGTCAAACACATCCACCCCAGCGATCGAAGATTATCATTTACGCGGTTACTCTGACTTAGACATTATCATTTACACAAAAATCAATATCGATCGGTCCAAGTTGCTTAGCAACGTTAATTAGAAAAGAAGTCAAAATACGCTTCCGGGGACATTTTACAAAGGGCTACAGTATATCAGGCATCGGACAAGCCACCAATATAAATATTTTCACATACATAAAGTACAAACAGAACCAGTGCTGTCGGCGCCGGTTACCCTTGCTCTACGTGGGTATCGATCATAGGCAAATACCCGCATTTGAAACTAACCTTTCCGGTACACGTGTTACTTAACAGAGAGTCCCGCATGATAGAGACTCAGCTTCCGATTAATTTCTACAGGTAAGCCTCGCCCTCGATTTTGGCTAACACTTAACATTATTACTAAATGGAGGGCGGACTTTCTGTTTCACGGACCCTAAAATTCGTAACACCGGAAGGCCAAGGAGGTTATATTTTCAACTCCGTTATCTTTCTGTTCGTCACCACCCTAACTCAAAAAAGTAGCAGATGGATTTTGATGACATATATAGGATCGTTCTGAAATGGCTTCACTTCAAAGTGTTTAGATTTTGATGGTGATCCATCGTCCAGATCATCATCTGAATCCAATAAGTTAAGGGCTCTTTACCATTGCGAGATAGAGTAAATGTCAAGGGCCTTGGCGGAAGTATTGGTATTCTTTCCTCCAAAAAATGAAGATGTGCTTATAAAAGAGGTGTGTGTGTGTGTGTGTGTGTGTGTGTGTGTGTGTGTTGTCTTCTTTCACGTTGCGTAGCCATGCATTTTTCTTTCTGGAAATGAAAACGTCATACCAGGTAAAGAGTGTTATCCGAATTGGAATCAATTATACATGTATATACACCGTGTATTTACAGAACTAAATGGGTAAATACAAGATATGAGCGTAACTGCAGATGGTAATTAATACATTATAACATTGTAAATAGGTGGATTCATTGGTATCTTTTAGTCAAATAGCTATAATTTGGAGCTATTGGAACCAGAACAGCACGCCAAAAGGATGTTGATTCGCCTAGACATAGATACACAATGCCATAAAAAGTATCAAGTATACATGTTTAAATATTTATAATACAAATCCATTAAGTTTATCAGAATAATCATCATGTATTTACAGTCCATATTATGTGACATATGTGTTTACCATTTTAGCGAGGGCACGTGTTTGAGCAGGCGGTGGTGATGACTGAGAGAGAGAGAGAGAGTGAGAGAGAGAGAGAGAGATGCAAAGATAGCGAGAGTACGTATCTAATACGTAGGGGCCTATCTCTGGAAAAAGATAAAAACAAGGAAGGCTTTTATTTTATGAATGTAATGTAAATGGGAAAAAGACCACAAGAGATTGCATGTGGCAGAGATAAAAAATAGAAAGGCAGCGGCGCTGAAAAGTATACTACCTCGCGTTACAACCAAAGATAGGGGAGACCGGGGCTAGTTGGACCCCGGGGTAAGTCGCCCCCCCTCCATCAATTCATGACACATTAACTATGGGGTAAAAGAATTGATCACATCATTTTGTAAAGTGACCGTATCCAATAGTGCTAAGAAAGTGTCGGCAGTAAGTCCACATGAAATAGTTAAGCATATTTAAGTAACTTTATTAAAGAGACTTGATGGGGGACCAACTTACACCGGGGTCCAACTAGCTCCGGTCTCCCATTAAGTCAACAACTTGGTCACAACTGCAGAACGGTTTGAATAAAATGACAGATGTTCAAACCCATGTTCAAAATGGTGGTGCAGACAGGATGGGTGAGTACTCGCAAATTGCCGATAACAGACCGTGATTCCAATACGAATCGATAACAATAATACTAGTACACGGGTACTGTACATATGTAGGTACTAAACCTTACGACCAAAACAAGACAATGTGACTTTTTATGTTAATGTCTATAAAACAGACATTGGAAATGTGCTTTAGGAACAAACAATAAATAACAGTAATTACGAAGGAGTCGTTTTTGTTTGTTTTACAAATGGTTATACTGGCTTACTGTGCTCAAACTGTCACTGGATATGGCTATCGATACCTGTAACCTATTAGATAATTCAGTCACTGAATGCAAAAGGATGCAAAAAGCCGATGTCCATTAGTGCATTGATCGATGTAATGATTTTTACTGTCATTGTTGGAGCATTTGACTGGAGCTGGCAAGGTTATGCCAATATGGTTATGACAGGACATTGTCAATGACCTGTTCCTTGTAAAGTCTTGGCCAGAACCGAACCGCTGGTCACTGAATTAGGCTTTTATAGTTAATCAATGAAGTCAATGAGAATGACGTCAATGGGCGGTTACTGATGTTACTGAAAACAGGGGAAAATTGAAAAGCGTAAGATCTCCAATAACCTAGCTTCTTGAGGAAAAAATCTGCCGTCAGTTGATGAGCTGTTATTCGTCGCTGAGGTATCCCAGTACTAAAATTAATTCATTGTCATATCAAATAAACATTATAACGCTTCCAACTATAGGGGAGACCGGGGCTAGTTAGACCCCGGGGAAAGTTGGTCCCTGGTCAATTTATGAAAAAGTATCTACCAGGTCGAAAAATGATCAAATAACCTTTTGAAATGACCATATCCCATACTGCCAAGAAAACATTGGTCGTAATAAAAGGATTTATTGAGCGTGAGTCCGAATGAAAGTTTTTGCATCTGGAAATAAATTTATTGAATACAGTTTAAATTCTACAGTATTTCCAGAGCCTTGTGATAGTACATGTATATAAAGTTCGTTAAACCACCGCTATAGTGTTTAAAAATTAGCAGGAATGTCTAATCGTACGTTAACACAAAAACAAAACAAAACAAAACAAAAAATAGCTGCAATAATCAAATAAAATTGTGCACTTGCAGTTGATCGGACCACTTGGCTAGAGACCAGGGACACCCGTGACTTGCATCTTGTTATGATTTTTTAGCAAAAATTTAGAAAAATTGAAGTACAGAAACATCAACTGAGCTGCTCCGTATGGACAACAAATTGAGCCAAGACTCAAAATCAATTTTAATTTAATTAAAAATATAATTTATATGGCGTTAACATGGATTGCTGCATTATTTGAGTACAGGGTGCCACCTTGCCCCAACCCCAACATTGCAACTGCAGCTAAATTCTTGTCGCGCGTTCCAAAACCGGTTTTGTTGCACCAACTTATTCCTGATTGGCTGCACAAGTGTCTAACTGGCCCCGGTCACCCCTCATTTTGTAATTAACGACAAGGTCATATATATAATCAGAAACTTGGGAACCGAACAGATACAAGTAATGTTGATATTTGCATAGCCAGCCAACCATTGCATCAGTTACGCAAAGAACTCGCAACAATATTGAAAATCGATGCAGCTGTCGCTGTGAACGTGGACATACTGTCACTCGAGTTCCGTTAAAGCCACTGGGCCGACATGGAGCGCAAGACTGCCTTGAAATTACTTATATTTGGTGTTTTATTAAAAGGTAAGACGAAGAGGAAATATTTCAGGTTAGATTGAGACTATTTTCATCTTTTGTAACTATTCTATATTGTGTTTTTAAAAGTAATATTTAAAAACTGCATTACATTTTGTAAAAATGCGCTTAATTAATTTTCCTAGAATTTATAAATGTTTTACAACATACCAGCCATTATTCCGCTAGTTCACGAACATTTTTTTGTAAATTTGGTGTCAACCAATTGAATGGTGGCATGCATTAGCTACTTTCTCACTTCGCGTAAAGTCATTTTTCAACAATAAGTATAAAATTTATTTATTCTTAGTGACATAACAAACCTGTAAGGTTTATACGGAAGATATATGCATCGACGAAAATTGAAGGGCGGATTTGAAAAGTAACATTTTATGCAACAAACGTCGCATACACGGTCCATTAGAGCGTTTCAATTTCGCTTTTGTACCTAACGCATAATAAGTAATGTATTGATTAATATATAATCTATCAATTGCTCAATGGATCAATACCAAATTCTAATCGATTCTCAGTTTGCCCATTTGGAACCTATCTTAAATTTTTGAATAAAAATCCGTCCATTTTATTTTCAGTTAGGCTGTTAAATAACAAAAAAAAAAAAAAAAAAAAAAAGAATAACCACCTTGGCGGAAATAATGAATGAAAATAAAATCCAGTTTTCATCCTCTTTATTTTTCAAGTCACAACAGGGGTAAATGTTTCCTTCACTTTCAGAGCCATTTTGTCATTTAATTCAATTTTCTTGATAATGAACTACTATATTTTCGCCAGTTGCCTCCTCAAACAACACCAAAGGTTACCTTGAGCGACATAGCGGATTCAGAATAAACTCCCAGCTGGTCGCACGCCAACTGTCAGCTGTCACAAAATTACGCTGCATAGGGCTATGTCTGCGGGCAGCGAACTGCTCGTCACTGGCGCACAACGAGGTGACACAGGAGTGCGAGTTGTCCAGTGTGCCGTATGAAGACGCCAGAGTGAGCGGGGACCTGCTGCCCTCGACAGGATGGAAGGTAGTTTTAATGTGTGCATATTGTTTTATTTGATAAAATTATGCCTACAGTCCAAAATTTATTAAATAATCCAGTGCTTAATTTATTTATTAGTCTTTTTTTTAATTGATCAGTAAAGGTAAACATGCAAACATTTTGAACTTGTGATAAAAACATATACTGTCAAGTTATTTTACAATAATGTCAAGGATACAATTTCATTAAAAACTTTTCAGGATTTCATATTATTTTTTAACTGATGGTTTGAATTTGGTTTTCAGATATATTCCCGTGTTGCGCCGAAGATAGGTAAGTTGGCACTCTATGCACCTAAAAATATCCTCTTTGTTCCAAACATACTTCAATGAAAAACTTCTTTTGCACGAAAAAAGCTCATTCAGCTGACATTAAAATTTGAATATGATACTATGTCCTTGATTGTTTATCATATTAATTACCTTTCTTAGCACTTAATATGTAAATATAAATATACTAATATACAAATGTGAGTCTATGTCTGAGTGTTTAGCCACATGCCTTTTTCTATAAGCCAAGATAAGTTTATTTATTAATTTATTTATTTGATTGGACTACTACGAATTAATATGGTGTCAAAGTGGTTACTGGAACTTATATTTAGCAACTGACCGACGCTGTAGTCTCAACCTAAGACCTTTCACTAGTAAATGACCTGGATGGCTGGTCATCTGGTCTTTTGCATTGTCGGTCAGTTACGAAACGTATATTCCTGTATCAGAGTTATTCATATTTATCATTCTTATTGTACTAGAGGACTAACATCATTCACTCACTTTGATCACAATATCGTTCTTAAAGTTTAGACCCGTTTTGGGGGCTTAAGCCCTTTATGAAATAGGTCCCTGTAGAGATGTGCCTATACAGCGATCTTAAACAAACTTATTTCATTTATCCCCATAGCCACGACTCCTGCGCCTCCAGTTCAATTTCCCGGCATAACGCACTATAACTTCACCAACCTTGGAGCCGAGGGCAGGTTCGGTCCGACGACAGTTGGCAGCCATTATGACAGCCTTCCTCTGGAAGGCTTGGTGGAGGTGTCCAGTGGGATTCAGATCTTCACAGTACCCTATACTGGCACGTACAGGGTGGAGGTGGGCGGTGAGTAGTGTTATGAATTATTGAATTGGTATTGTCTTGATTGTGTTGGAGGTGACACTGCTTGTGGTGTCCCTCTGGTGGGATTTTTGTACCACGTGATATTAGGAATCCATGTTGGTGGAGACACGTGTGTTGATAATAAAGAAAACAACCGTGCAGCATTGTGTGGTGTTTTGTTGCATGATCTACATCGCGAATGTCCTCTGTGCGTGGCAAGTAGAACTGCTGAGTATGTGTCAGATAATACACTGTCACTCGCAGGGGCGGATTTAGGGCGTCTTCTGGGTCTTCCAGAAGACGGTCAGATTTTCAAGTTTACATTGGCGGGTATCTAATTTTTTCTGTCGAAAGACGGTCAAAAATGAAGAACGGATCAACAAAGATAATTTGGAAGACTGTCAGGAAATAACTCTGAATCCGCCCCTGACTCGTACATGTACAGCGTATATGCCAGACCACTTCCAGCTTCAGCGAGAGAATGTACTCACAATTCACCATGTACATTTACATTAAAAGGGATAACAACTGTTCGTATGACATCCATGTTTTACAATAAATGCACTGCAAACAATACAATAAATTCTATTTTACCACCAAAATGGCAGTAAATGCAATTATTCTGGAATTTGTGCTTGCCATCTCATAACGTGTCCTCCTTAAATGGCTACACTGTGTAAAGTATCTGAGGCAATATTACAAAAAAAAAAAAAAACAAACTTTGAAAAAACCGGGACTAACATTGGATGTCGGAATTGATTCATTAACCATTGGTATACACCTTTACCCAAGAATAATCCATTTTTTGTCGAAATGAACAGTTGTTAGTTTATCCCTTTAATCTTTGCCTTTTCGCAAAATTGCAACACATACTGTCAGTACATTTACATATTGGGGGCAAACAATTTCAATTTTAACTGTTGATTGAAGAAAACAACTTTACTCTTATAACATTACACAACTATTGTTTTTTTCTGATTTTTATATTACGTTTATTACTTTATCACGTATTGATCAGCAAAGGCCCTCTAATGGGCATATATATAGCCTTTTATCACTTTCAAGCTTTCGCACCACATATATGTACCGGCATAAGCACTAAATTTGTTGTTTTTGTGTTTGTTTTATACACTCGGTGTTTGAACATGCCTTGCGCTTGTTCGCCACGCCTACCGCAAATCACTTCTTAGATACACCTCAATATTGATTTTTCTTTTTCTCCGTAGGAGCGATGGGCGGGGGAGATACATACAGAGGTGCAGATACTTGTTACACATACAATGGACAAGGTGCTAAAATGACAGGCACTTTTAGTTTTGTCAGTGGTAAGTTTTCTGAAGTGCGAGCGTGTGTGTGTGTGTGTGTGTCTGTGGGCGTTTGTGTATTTGAGAGAGAGAGAGAGAGAGATTTGCTAAGGTAAAGACTTTTTAATTCTCTCTTTCTCTGTCCCCCTCAATACATGTATGCCAAGACACCAGTCTATCTTGTGTACAGCGCGTTGGTTGTTCATCACCTAAAAACAAACAATGCTCTGTCTGCAAATGTGAGAAAGGAGAAGTCGAAAAGGATAAGTGAAAAAAGACAATAATTCGTATAGTTATAATTCTTTAAAGTTTAAGAGAGCTAATTTGTTGTTGGATAGCATAATAGGAGAGTGCTCTTTCATTAACCGTTTGTTTTCAGGAGAAAAACTGAAAGTCCTTGTCGGGCAAATGGGTTTATGCAACACGGGCCATGCGGGTGCTGGTGGCGGCGGTGGGACGTTTGTCACCACGGACACTGACGTCCCTCTGATCATTGCCGGTGGCGGCGGCGGTAGCAGCGCCTTACTTAACCACAAAACTGTATCCGATGCCACCGACAACACGTGGGGGCAGGATCGGGGTACTTGGTACGGTGGGGATAATGGCCAAGGTGGAGAGTCAAGTTCCAACACGGGTGGAGCCGGCGGTGGCGGTCTGCTAACAGATGGCGCGACAAACGCCAATACGGGAGCAACTGGAGGCAGTGCGTTTGTTAATGGTGGGGTGGGTGGAATTGGGAATGAAAATCAACCTTTGAGTAATGGGGGCTTTGGGGGTGGTGGGGGTGCCAAGGGCAAATTTGGTGGACCCGGGGGTGGCGGCGGGTACTCAGGGGGGTGCCGGGGGTAATGGGAGTCCTGACCAGAGCGGAGGTGGAGGGGGGTCCTATAACACTGGTATTGCCCAGAGCAATGAAGTTGGTGTAAACGCGTATCATGGGTATGCCAATTTTACATTGATATCATTTTAAATGGGGCTTCGTATCTACAGATGTCACTTGTGGTGTTAAATATATGTATCTACTGTATCACACGTCACCCTGGTTAATTTTACCTGTATTGAAGACAACTTTTTATTATTTTAGTTGAACAATTACTGACTTTATCATCTTCATAAAAATGGTCTTAGATACTGTTCTCAGAAGAAAAGTATCTGGGAAAAGCGTAACTGATAGAAGATTTCTTTAAGGGAAATTGATTTTCATCGACATAGATCTTTAATGGACAAGGATTTTTGTCTTTCAGCTCGCAATAAAAAAAAATAATCAAAATAAAATCTGTGCGTTATGCGTAATATGCACGTATGTCTGAAAGGCATTTTTATTCCTACAAAATAGCTGTGATAAAAACAAAAATCAAAACGAATTCCCCGCCATCATGAACTTGACTTACAGCGGGTAAAAATCTCATTTTTGCTGAGAACCGAGGTCATGGGTATATTTTTATACAATACTTTCTTTTGGAGAGCATGGTTAAAATCAGTGTTACCACGCATCAGAAGCACTGGGAAAGTGTTAAAATGTCAGCGATTCATTTTTGCCTCAGGCGACGAACTGTCCCTTTAAGTATGACATTTGACTTAAAACACATTACAGTGGGATAGCATTTCTCCACAATCCATGCGCTTAAGTGCATATGCACCTTGAAATCAATATTGTTCGATCATTAAAGAGTTGCACTATTCGATTGTGAACGGTGACTATTGGGAAATTCAGACACGAAGAAATATTTACTGGACAATAGGTAAATAATCAAATACGTTTTATTGATGACTGGATATCGGATATTGTAATATCGATACCATTATTATCTGACCGTTAGCGTTGTGCGTATTTACAGTTCGAATAGGTGAACAGGCCCGTAGCCCGGGGGGGGGGGGGATTGGGGGCACAAAAGAATATCCGATACCCTTTTTGTCAGGAAAAATCCATTCTGGGGAAAATTTGACCTACTCATACAAAGGTTTCCTTGTAAAATGTCTAACTTTCCGAAAAAAACAAAACCTTTTGAAATTGCTGGCTACGGAGCAGATGAAGAATAAATAAGCAAGGGCCATCATGATGCACCTAGTACATGCTTGTTACGTTGTAAAAGAAGGAATTTACATCCATGATAAAGAGTGAATACAAAGTGCTAACAAACCTACCGACCTTAAAACGGAGAAAAAAAGTTCAATTTAATCAATGTTTCCCTGAGAAAATATATAGCTGGATTAAATATACTACCACATGTCCACCGTTTAAAATGCGTCTAATTTACACGCCTAATTGGGGTCACCGCCATCATGACAAGAATCACTCACTGTTGTGATCTGAAGTAATACTAGACCGAAGTAAAATTACACGAATTAATTTTTTATATTGCCATAAGACCTCTTATAATTTCAGAAGCCTACACGATTCGATTATCATATTTCACACCTTTCTCTTGCACCACTAAGGAAATTAAAAGATGGATTTACTATATAACCGTTTGTAATTAGTCTTATGATCGAATATGTTACACAAGTATCTTTTGGTGTACTTCAGACAGATGTTACTATGTGCCAGAATTTCCCGACTGATTATACCTGCGCTAAACACATAATTAGCTATTTTATCACAGGCCCTTATCCAGGTAGCAATTGGGAAGGCGGGGGGGGGGGGAGAAATGGAAAACTGCAGGGCCAAACTTAAAGAGCTCTAGAAAGGACGTTTTGTTTTGGTTTAAGCAATGGCTCATTGCTCTAGATGTGACGCTGCCGTACTGCCTCCGTGCATATTAGCGCCAAGATATCATATCGAACAATATTGGTAATAACGTAAAACCAAGGGATTACCTTCAAATTGTATATTTTTGGTTTTTACCAAGAAACATTCTGTCGATAAAAGTCATTTCCACTTATACACATGGGACATAGCATCTGAAATATTGTGCAACCTATCGTTAATGTTTAACACAATAATGAGCACAACATGCTTTGATGTTAAGGTTGTTTTATTTGAGCATAAGTTTGTATAATTCAACAAATCAATAGCATATAATTCTTAACATGGGTTTTAACAAATCATCCTATCAAAAATTCATTAAAATGAGTTAATAAAAGTTAAATATTGTTAATTCTAAAAAAACCATTACACATGTTGTGTCATTGTTTGAAAGTTTTGTGTCTTGGCATTTCACTTTTTTACACATCAGCTTTGTACTATGCGGGGCAAGAAGACCAGACCTATACGGCTTCTTTGATCGAGATCAATTGACTAGTTTGATGCTATTGTTTATGTAAGTTATCGTGTACGTCAATGTGACGTAGCATACTTGAACTTGCCGAGTAAAATATACCGGTACATCACCGTACATGGTCCATAAACGTAATAACAAATTT